GGAGCCTCCCGGAACGTCCTGGAGACTGGAGCCCCGCGGGACGCCCACCTTCAGGGGCCGCGATCCTTCCAGAAGGGCCCCGCAAGACCTCGGCCCAGGCCCCCGGGCGTTCCCTGGAGCCCCCACCCCTCTTGACCCCACCTCACTCTCCTCTTGGGTGCTTGATCGCACAATTCGAGGATTCGCCCCTTTAGTAGAAATGTTTGCTTTAATAGCCCCCAAAATACATATTAGGCTTTCAACTCCCCCCCGCCCCCCCCCCCATTTATTTTTTTGAGACGGAGTCACCAGGCTGGAGTGCTGTGGCGCGATCTCGGCTCACTGCAACCTCCGCCCCCCATCAACCCCCTTTTGAAAAGGGTTTTAAGGGGAAGGAGTTAGAAAGGGCCCAGTGAAGGAGGGGGTGGGGCTCTGGGGGCGAATGGGCTCCGAGCAGGGGGAGAGAGAGACAGAAAGTTCCAGCATTTCGAAACAGCATGGGGTTTGCCCAGGAGCCGAGCGCGGTGCACGAGGAGGAAGTCCTATAGCAGCTGGGCAGCCGCAGGCCCGCTCCTCAGCCCGAGCCTGCACCATCTCCAGTCTGACGCCTGTTGGGAGAGGATTTTAAATCTGCCCTGTTCTTCCAAGATGCGTCATAAGCTAGCGCAGCAAAGGAGGGACGCAGTGCGGGGAGACCAAGAATTTAAAAATAAGTCGTCCCGGGAGCCCACTGGACATGTTAGCAAAAATGAGTTTTGCAACATAGAGCTCTTATTTTGCTCTTCCCACGTTCTTGTATTTCCTCCTTGTGAACTCTTTTGAAATTGGCCACCCTCGTAAAAATATGTGATGAAATACCTAGCAGACAATTGAATTATGCATTGGATATTTCCAGATATAGAGATATATTTATATGTTACATGAAAAAACCGGGCGATAATTTGGAATCACTTCAAAAATGATGCACTGATGCCAGGCGTAGTGGCTCACTGAGCCTGTAATCCCAGCACTTTAGGAGGCCGAGGCCGGCGGATCCCATGAGGCCAGGAGTTGGAGACCAGCCTGGCCAACATGACTGAAACCCGTCTCTACTAAAAATACAAAAATTAGCGGGGCGTGGTGGCAGTCGCCTGTAATCCCAGCTACTCGGAGGGCTGAGGCAGGAGAGTCGCTTGAACCCGGGAGGTGGAGGTTGCAGTGAGCGGAGAGGGCGCCACTGCACCCCAGCCTGGGTGACAGACTGAGACTCCGTCTCAAAAAAAAAAAAAAAACACCGAAAAATAAAAGAATGCAAAAAGGGTTCCCTTTTCAAAAAAAAAAAAAAAAAGCACTGAAAATGACATGATTGCAAGAAGGATTCCATTTTCAAACAAATAAATAAAATTAAAAGAAAACGACTGGGGGAAAGATGCCAACATACTAAGAAGAAATGGGTTATGGGATCTCGCAAGTGTCATCTGCCTCAGGGGATGTAACCGAATGCTGGTTCAGTCGCTGGCTGCTTGCAGAGTCTAATTAACAAGAGCGAGATGTGGTGGAAAGTGACTTTATTTCCCAAGCTAGCAAGGGGAAGTGGTTGGATTCGTATCCCCAAAGCAATCACCTTGGGTATGGGGAGTGGGAAAGACAAGGATTTAAAAAGGGAAAACGATGTGGAAGTCAGGCAAGGATTATGCTAAGTACAATGTCTGTTTGTCCTGTTCCAGTGGCTGTCTTGGGTCCTAGTCTACTGGAAGCGTGGGCTGACATCATCTCAACAATAGCTGGATTCTTAATTAGACGCTTTGAAGTCATATCTGGAATTTTGCAGCAGGATCTCCAGGCTTGGTCTGTCTGTCTCAAGATTAGCGTCTGGAACCTCTAAGAAGGCACATAACTAGACACGAGCATACAGTTAGATAAATGTGAAGGGAGTTTATACTGTGAAGAAGGGAGGGACGTGGAGCCCATTTTAAGGCTAAGGAAAAAGGCTTCTGCAGTTTGCTTCAAGGTTACGTCTTTGATGGCTGGGTGCGGTGGCTCACGCCTGTAATCCCAACACTTTGAGAGGCTGAGCCAGGTGGATCACCTGAGGTCAGGAGTTTAAGACCAGCCTGGCCAACATGGTGAAACCCGTCTCTACTAAAAATACAAAAAATAGCCAGGTGTGGTGGCATGTGCCTGTAATCCCAGCTACTTGGGAAGCTGAGACAGGAGGGAGGTGGAGGTTACAGTGAGCTGAGATCATGCCACTGCACTCTAGCCTGAGCCACAGAGCAAGGCTGTGTCTCAAAAAAAAAAAAGTAACTTGTTTTCTCATTCTAAAGAAATACTTTTGGCCAGATGTGGTGGCTCACATCGGTAATTCCAGCACTTTGGGAGGCCAAGGCGGGTGGATCACCTGAGGTCAGGAGTTCAAGACCAGCCTGGCCAACATGGTAAAACCCCATCTCTACTAAAAATACAAAAATTAGCCAGGCATAGTGGCAGGTGCCTCTAATCCCAGCTACTTGGGAGGCTGAGGCATGAGAATTGCTTGAACTGGGGAGGTGGAGGTTGCAGTGAGCTGAGATAGCGCCACTGTGCTCCAGCCTGGGTGGCAGAGTAAGGCTCCATCTCCGGGGGGACGGGGAGCAATACTTTGGTGCCTAATTTTATAGTAAGTCGTGTATTTGTTTATAAACGGGGCTCCATATATTATATACACTTCAGCCCTACAAACCCTGCATCTGCACCATCCCTTTCCATTAATTCCTTACCTTCTAATCAGTTGACCTTTCTGAAGCATTTCTAATAGCCTAGAGGGGCTCCTCTTGCCTCCCTCAGGAGAGTGGGCGGGGGATGGCAGAAAGAAGCCAACATTTTTTGCCAGCCAGTGGTGCTTCTCTAGGTATTATAACACCGAGACCTCCCAGTTAGGCAAGCAATGGCTGTCCCATGGGGACACGAGCAGAGTTCAGTGACTTGGCCTGTGGTGGGTTTGCACTGCGGTAGGTCTGCTAAACTGTAACTGCATTTCCTAGAATTCCCCTTCCTGAAAAGTTCTGAGGTAACATGGGCAGGGAAGGATGTTTGTGTGTGTCTTAGTCCATTTTCTGTTGCTTATAACTGAGTATCTGAAGCTGGGTCATTGATAAAGAAAAGGCATTTATTTCTTACAGTTTGGGAGGCTGAGGGACTGCAACTGGTGAGGGCCTTCTTGCTGATGGAGATTCTCTGCAGAGTCCTAAGGTGGGCAGGGCATCACATGGCAAGGGGGCTGAGGGTGCTAAGGTACTCAGATCGGTCTTCCTCTTTTTTTTTCTTTTGAGATGGAGTATCACTCTGTTGCCCAGGCTGGAGTGCAATGGTGTGAGCTTGGCTCACTGCAACCTCTGCCTCCCAGGTTCAAGCAATTCTCCTGCCTCAGCCTCCCAAGTAGCTGGGATTACAGGTGCCTGCCACCACACCAGGCTAATTTTTGTATTTTTAGTAGAGATGGTGTTTCACCATGTTGCCCTGGTCTTGAACTACTGACCTCAAGTGATCCACCTGCCTCGGCCTCCCAAAGTGTTGGGATTACAGGAGTGAGCCACCGCGCCCATCTCCTCTTTTATAAAGCCCTCAGTCCCACTCCCATGATAACTCATTGGTCCCTGAACCCATTAGTCCATGAATGAGTCCACCCATCCATGAGGGCAGGATCACCATAACCAATCACCTCTGAAAGGCCTCATTCCTCCATACTGCCATATTGGGAATTAAATTTCCAGCACATGGAATTTGGGGACACCTTCAAACCCTAGCAATGTACAAGACTTGGAAGATGGAAGGAAAGGTCCAGCCATATTCCTTTACCCTTGGGAGGCTGGGGCAGGGCACAAAGCATCCATCTTTGCAGCTCATGACCTGTGGCTTCTCTGCTGACATCCTAGATGGCGGGGATACAGACAGGCTCCAGGCTCCTCCAGCTCCTGGTGGATCTCGTGTGGTCGTGTAAGTTGGAGGTGTGGAGATAGAGAGCAACTGAGGAGGGTAGCAGCTGAACCTTAGATTTCAGCTTGTCCCTGCTTCCTCCACCTCTTGTCTACCTTCTCTTCCCGGCCTTCTGCCCTGAGGACTTCAGGCTCCAGCACTGGACAGGGGGAAATTGCCTGTCCTGGACTGTGCACACATCTGTCATGTTTATGTGAGGTCAAATCTCTATAATGTAACAACACACACACACAAACACATACACACACATCACATGATGCTTTTGCTTGTTGGATCAAAACCGGGCTGATCATGCCCCAAATCACATAGCCAATGAGTAGCAGTGTGGGCTCCTAGCGAGGCCTGTCTAGTGCCCCGCATTTCACAGCAAACTTCTCATCATGCTGTTCCGTTTTCTTGCAATGAGGCTCAGCTCTGCCCAATCAAGCGCTCCACAGCTCCCCAAGACCCAGCTATTCCGTCAGTGAGTCTTTGAAGTTTTACTTTGTGAAGGTCACATGTGCCCTACTTGTCTGCCTCTTCCTCTGCTGTTCACCCCCACTGTTTGTGCCTCTCCCTGCCTTCATCTGTAACGCCTCCCCCGCCCCCCACTCCTGCCATACCCACAGTCCAAATTCTACAACTTCTGGACTCCACTTCCTGAGAACTCTATCGCCTTCTCTGACTACATCTTCCCCTGTTTGTCGTTTTGTGGGGACTGACACAGCCAAAGGCAGGGCCGCTGACACCTGTGAGTGGGTAGATGAGTGTCTTTCCTGTATTCAACAGAGCTGTAAGAGCTCTGAGCTCAAAGTAGGCCTTGATCATTGCCAAGTGGGGCCTTGATATGTGACTTGGTGCCCCTTGTTCCAAGAAATTCCAGGATCAAGGTCAGAGGAATTGGCATGTTAGCGAAAGGACGAATTCCCTTAGGTCTCCGGTGATGGGATGGGTTTTCTCACTGTTTGTCATGGGCCTCAGCCCCCTCCTTTCACCAGCCTACACTTGTTGCATTTCTGCTTCCCCGGTGGGGCCGTCACAAAATATCATTCGAGTAATACCCAGTCTTTTCTAGTCTTTTGCCTCCTGTCTGGAACTCTCACAACAGTTACTATTATACATACAGCATTCTACATTTCACTCCTCCTGGAAACAGGGAATGAATGATATCCTGATTTTTGTTGTTGTTGTTTTTAACCAGAGTCTTGCTCTGTCACCCAAGCTAGAGTGCACTGGCATGATCTCGGCTCACTACAACCTCCGTCTCCCAGATTCAAGCAATTCTCGTGTCTCAGCTTCCCGAGTAGCTGGGATTACAGGCGCGCACCACCACGCCTGCCTAATTTTTGTATTTTTAGTAGAGATGGGGTTTCCCCATGTTGGCCAAACTGGTCTTGAACCCCTAGCCTCATGTGATCCACCTGCCTCAGCCTCCCAAAGTGCTGGAATTACAGGCGTGAGCCACTGCGCCCGGCCGATATCCTGAAATTTGTCAGGGAGAAGAGACAACAGGCAGAGAAAAGAAAATCTTCCAGTTCCTTTTTAACTCCTTGAAAAACAGGAGACTCCTACACTTTAAGTATATGAAGCTTTAATATTCCTGATCTTGGTACATACGAAAAGCACCCACAACCCAGGGCCACAGCCCAGGACCTGGGAAGCTGCCGATAACAACTGGAAGGCCCAGGCCTGGGATTTTTTTTCATGAGTTCTCAGGACAGGACTTGTGTAATGAGTCGTCTTGGGTTTTGTAATTCAGAAAAACTCAAACCATTCCCCATTTCCTGGAAGGATTAAGAGCCTATCATTTTTTCTGTGTGTTTAAATGTGCTCTTCGACCGGGTACAGTGGCTCACTCCTGTAATCCCAGTGCTTTGAGAGGCTGAGACAGGAAGAATCCCTTGAGCCCAGGAGTTAGAGACCAGAATGGGCAACATAGCAAGACCTTGTCTCTACAAAAACTTTTTAAAAATAAAAATTAGCTGGGAATGGTGGACTATGCCTGTAATCCCAGCTGCTCAGGAGGCTGATACGGGAAGATTGCTTGAGCCAAAGAGTTTGAAGCTGCAGTGAGCTATGGTCACGCCACTGTACTTTAGCCTGGGTGATAGAGCAAGATAATAATAATAATATTAATAATATTAATATTAATATTAACATTATTAATATTAATATTAATTATAATAATAATATAATAATTTTGCACTCTGGCATCCTGCAGACTTCCAGGAAAAACCTGGCAGCTTGGGCATGAGTAGGAGCAGTTTATTAACCAAGGGCTCAGGCTAGGTAGCAGCTGCTGGAAGGCAGTGGTCGGCAACCTTCTTGGCACCAGGGACAAGTTTCATGGAAGACAATTTTTCCAAGGACCGGGCAGAGGGGAATGGTTTCGGGATGATTCAAGCACATTCCATTTGTTGTGCACTTTATTTCTATAATTATTACCTTATAAGATATAATGAAATAATTATAAAACTCACCATAATGTAGAATCAGTGGGAGCCCTGAGCTTGTTTTCCTGGAACTAGGCAATCCCTTCTGGGGGTGATGGGAGACAGTGACAGATCATCAGGCACTAGATTCTTATGAGGCGTGTGCAACCTAGATTCCACTCATGTGCAGTTCACAATAGGGTTCAGCTCCTATGAGAAGCTAGCGCCTCTGCTGATCTGACAGGGGGCAAAGCTCACGCGGTCATGAGAGCAATGGGGAGCAGCTGTAAACACAGATGAAGCTTTCCTTGTAGCTCACGCCTGTTCATGAGTGGCGACTGGGGACCCCGTCTGTAAGCCACAGCCAGGAGGAGGCCCATGGGGCATCTGATGAGTCACTACAACGCTGTGGGCAAACAGGGAGCTATGCCCATATCCTCTAATAAGAAGAGGTACCATTTATTGACCTCTTGCCAACCCTCATAACACATCTATGAGGTAAGGGTAGGGGCCATTTATCTTGATTTCTGAGTGTCCAGCATCTTTTGAATGCTCTTGCTGTACTGGGAGGATTTTCAGTCTTGTGAGGATTCACTGCTTCCAGAAAATTCAAATTCCCAACCTCCCTTGCAGGCATGCTTTCCAGCCTGTGTCAACCCCACCTTCTGTGGGAGCCTCCTCCCACTATATACCTTCGCTGGACCCAAAATCACGCACGATTTCACCTCAAAGAATCACCTGGAGCTCCCTACACACCCCCAGTTCCTTGGCAATTTTTCATGAGGGACATCAGTTCCATATAACCCAAAGAATCTAATGTCACATATTCTAAAAGTGAAAAACACTTCTTATTCTCTCTTTCTTTGCAAACATACATATGAATACTCTTTCAGATACATTCTTTGCCTTGTTTATTGTGACTGTCTTTGCTTTTAAAAAACATATTTGAATCTTTTTTCCAAACATGTATTTTGATTTGATTACTGCTACTTTTTGGGTTTAGAAAGTGTGTACTTGAACCTCTTGTAAATCTTGTATTCTCTGGGTTTGATCACCTTCAAAAGCACGACTTCCTCGTGTGTGTGTGTGTGTGTATGTGTATGCATGTGTATACGTGTCTTGGAAAAGGTTTGGTCTTTGGCTATGCCAATGTGTAAAAAAAGAGCCCATAGGCCGATTGCAGTGGCTCACACCTGTAATCCCAGCACTTTGGAGGGCCGAGGCAGTGGATCTCACGAGTTTGAGACCACCTGGCCAACATGGTGAAACCCTGTCTCTACTAAAAATACAAAAATTAGCCAGGTATGGTGGCCCATGCCTGTAATCCCAGCTACTCAGGATGCTGTGGGAGGATTACTTGAACCTGGGAAGCAGAGGTTGCAGTTAGCTGAGATCATGCCACTGCACTCCAGCCTGAGCAACAAAGCGAGACTCTGTCTCAAAATAAATACTATATATATATATATATAAAAGAGCCCATAAAACAGAGATGTGAAAAACAGAAATGAAGATGTCACCGGCTTCTGCCTGATGGGTGCTCATTTTATGTAGATTGTTAAGGAAATAGCAACAGTCACTATCTCAGAAACGCCTGTGCTTGCCGTGCCACAGCATAACCATACCATAGGAATCAGTCTCCGTGAATCCAATCCCTGTTTTTCAACCACGCAGAAGTTGCCAGTCAGCGTTTCTGGTGAGAGAACCGCATTGCCACACTGACAGGGTGCAATACTAGCCACAAATGAAGAAACTCGATGTTTTCATTTTCTCAGGAAGCCTGCCTGGGAGCACATGGGTGACCTCCAAGGGATTTTGAACTGCTGGGGCCACACTAGGGGACTTCACCCTTCCATGTAGGACTGTCAAGGTGCAGGGATCCAGGCTGAGGATGCCCAGCTCAGAGATGGGTGAGCCGGCCTCTTCCGCCAGTGCACCCTGTGATGCCTGGCCGGGCCCCCAGTTCTTGGAAGCTGGATTAGTTTCCTATGGCTACTGTAATGCATCGCCACAAACTTAGTGGCTTAAAACAAAAAAATTCATTCTCTTATAGTTTTAGAGGTCAGAAATCCCAAATGGGGCTGGGTGCTCATGCCTATAATCCCAGCACTTTGGGAGACTGAGATGTGAGGATCACTTGAGGCTAGGAGTTGAGAACAGCCTAGGCAACATAGCAAGACTCTGTCTCTCCAAAAAATAAAACATTAGCCAGGCATGGTGGTGGGCACCTGTAGTCCTAGCTACTCAGGAGGCTGAGTTGGGAGGATCACTTGAGCCCAGGAGTTCGAGCCTGCAGTGAGCTACGATTGCACCACTGCATTCCAGCCTGGGTGAGACCCTGTCGATAAAAAAGAAAGGGACATCAGTTCTATATAACCCAAAGCCTGGGTAACAGAATGAGACTCTATCTATGAAAAAGAATAGGAAAAGAAAGGAAGGGAAGTGGTGCATGCCTGTAGTCCCAGCTACTAGGGAGCCTGAGATAGGAGGATCTCTTGAATCCAGGAGGCAGAGATTGCAGCGAGCCAAGATGGTGCCACTGCACTGCAGCCTGGGCAACAGAGTGAGACTCTGTTTCAAAAAAAAAGAAAAGAAAAAGAAAAAAAACAGAAGGAAGGAAGAAAGAAAGAGAGAAACCCAAAACGGATTGGCAAGGCTATGGTCCTTCCAGAGGCTCTGGGGAAAATCAGTTCCTTGCCCTTTGCAGCTTCTAGAGAGGCTGTCATATTCCTTTTTTCTTTTCTTTTTTTTTTTTTTTCTTGTTTTGGGACGGAGTCTCACTCTGTCTCCCAGGCTTCAGTGTAATGGTGTGGTCTGGGGTCACTGCAACCTCCGCCTCCTGGGTTCAAGCGATTCTCATGCCTTAGCCCCCCACAGTAGCTGGGATTACAGGCGCATGCCACGAGGCCCAGCTATTTTTTTTTTTAAATATATTTTTAGTAGAGATGGGGTTTTGCTCTGTTGGTTAGGCTGGTTTTGAACTCCTGACCTCAGGTGATCCGCCCGCCTTGGCCCCCTGAAGTGCTGGGATTACAGGCGTGAGCCACTGCGCCCGGCTGCATTCCTTAATTCATGCTCCCTACTTCCATCTTCAAGCCATCTTCAAACCACCCTAATCTCTGCCTCTATCCCCACCCCTCCTCCTCGGACCCTCCTGCCTGCCTCTTCCCCATGCGAGGACCCTTGTGATGACATTGGGCCCACCCAATAATCTAGAATCATCTTTCCATCTTGAGACCCTTAGCTTAGATGTCTGCCAACTCCCCTTTATCATGGAAGGCAACAGATTCACAAGTGTTGGGGGTTAGGTTGTGGACATCTCTGGGGGTCATTATTCAGCCCACCATAGGGGCTACACAGAACCACACTGGACAGATAGGTGGCAGCTGTTAGCATCTGGACCTTGGACTCTTTGCCCTACTTCCATCTTGGTCTGTTCCCTTCACCCCTGCCCAGTGTGCAAGCACACACACACACACACAACCCCCACCCCCCCCACACACACACCCAGAGCCTGGCAGCCCTAGGCTACCACCACGCCAGCATTCCCCTCCTCTCAAAATCTGCAGGGCTGTGGCCTCTGCAGGGCTACATTTCCTGGGGCTGGTTTTTGCCCTTTTCTTGTTAAATTCAGTGTATTGTTGAATTAGCTTAGTCAAAGGCTGCCTTCAACTAAGAAGGAGGTAGAAATATTAAAATTGCTTTCTGGGGCTGGGGATTCAGGGCAAGTGGGGGTGGAAAGGAGTTGCTGCACTTCTTGAATCATCTATCCAAATCCATTTATGGACAAGACTACAATTTTCTGGTTGTGAAAAGGTAACAGTGGGGACATGGCCTGGGCAGTGTGGCCAGTCATTAGTTCTACAGGAGGGAGGGAGAGGTTACTGGGACAGCAGGGTTCTTTATTTAATTCCTTCCTCTCCACAAACAGTTCTTTCTGGGTACACATTCCCCTTGCAGAGGTTCATGCCAGGACTGAGGCTTCCAGGGAAAGCGGACGTGTGGTGTAAAGATCCAAGTCTCCTGGAGCTCGGGCGTGGTGGCTCACACCTGTAATCCCAGTACTTTGGGAGGCCAAGATGGGTGGATCACTTGAGGTCAGGAGTTTGAGACCAGCCTGGCCAACATGGTGAAACCCTGTCTCTACTAAAAATATAAAAATTAGCCAGGCATGGTGGTAGGCACCTGTAATCCCAGCTACTCGGCAGGCTAGGGCAGGAGAATCGATTGAATCCAGGAGGCGGAGGTTGCAGCGAGCTGAGATCGTGCCACTGCACTCCAGCCGGGGCAACAGAGTGACACTCTGTCTCAAAAAAAAAAAAGAGAGAAGGGCAGTTTAGAGGCACACATGTTTTGCTTTCAGTCTGACTTCCGCTATGGGCAATGGTTATTGTTGCTTTTGTTAGGATTTGTACCTCAGTGGGAGCCCTTAATATATGAAATTTTAACTGATTTGGAACTTGTAAACTTAAATACACAAATTTTTTGTTTGTTTGTTTGTTTTTGCTTTTAAAGACAGGCTCTCTGTTGCCCAGCCTGGAGTGCAGTGGCACAGTCTGTTTCACCACAGCCTGGAACTCCTAGGGTCAAATCATCCTCCTGTTTCAGTCTCCTGAGTAGCTGGGAGTACCCATACGTGCCGCCACATGAGCTAACTAAAAAAAAAAAAAAAAAAAAAAAAATTCTTTTAAAGATGGAGACTTAGTATGTCACCCAGGCTGGTCTCGAACTCCTGGCTGCAAGTGATCCCTCCACTTCGGCCTCCCAAAGTGCTGTGATTACAGGCGTGAGCCACCACACCCAGCCCATAAATTTTTCTAACTTTTTCCTTGTTGTTATCTTTATAATAGTAGTACTTGGGCCAGGCGCGGTGGCTCACGCCTGTAATCCCAGCACTTTGTGAGGCCAAGGGGGGCAGATCACTTGAGGTCAGGAGCTCGAGACCAGCCTGGCCAACATGATGAAACCCCGTCTCTACTAAAAATACAAAAATTAGCCAGGTGTGGTGGCACACACCTGTAATCCCAGCTACTCAGGAGGCTGAGACAGGAGAATCACTTGAACCTGGGGCGGAGGTTGCAGTGAGCCAAGATCGCGCCACTGCACTCCAACCTGGGTGACAGAGCAAGACTCTGTCTCAGGAGAAAAAAAAAAAAGTACTGGTTCATTGTCAAGGAACTATAAAATACAGAAAAGTATAAAGAAGAAAAAACAATTACCCCATAATCTTACAATACAGAAATGGCCAAAATTCATATCCTGAAACTCCTCAATTTTTAAGCACCAAAAAAACAGCCAGAAGGCAGCATTATGTCACCCTTTGTGAGAAGCATGTGGAAACCACACAGGACAGGAGCGGAAGGAACGTTTTGCTTCTCCTGTGTTTCAGGATTGTATGAAAATCAGGTTGCCTGTAGTTTCAGGACACTCTCTACAGGTGTAGTTTTGACTTTGCAAAGCCCTGAACACGCCTTGGCCAGCGATAGGAGGAGATGCCGAATGCCTCACGTTCACCGTCAGCAGCCCTCAGGTTTCAGCCTTCCTTGCTAACTGCCAGGTATAGTGACTCCCGGGTACAGTCATGGGCACCGGGCACAAGCCACTATGTAGAGATTATGCTACATTTGGTGAATGTTAAATACATTGTTAACATCCTTTCTTTTGCAGAATCTTCAACTATTGTCACTGTGAACTTTCTTTTTATCTTGGAAACCTCAAACATCATAGTGTGTGACTTCTGGTGTATTCATACCAAACAGATCCAAGCAAAGCAAACACAAATTCATGTGGGTACCTTTGTGGGTGAGGGCAAGAACAGAGAGAGCTTAGGGGCGGTGAAGCATGTTCAGAAAGGACGCGGTGGTCTGGAATATGTTGCCTTCTCTCCCTTCCTCCTTCCTTCCCTCCCTCCCTCGCTTCTTTCATGTATTTAGCACATATTTACTTATTGAGAATCTACTCTGTGCTAGGTCCTGTTCTGAGCACAACAGATAAAAACTCTGAGCTTGCAGAGCTTATGTTTTAGTGGCAGCAGCAGAGAATGCTCGGTCAATCACTGAACGCGGCATCTAGCGTCTGGAACAACGGTGATCGTGCGATGGAGAGGACCATGAGTGGATTGCAAGTTGGATTACATCCAGTCCCAGGCTATTCTCTTGGGGTCTGCAGTAGGAGATTCTGTCAAAGCCCCTCCATTTCCTCTGTTCTGGCATTAGTGGTAGATCCCCAGGTGGCTGGACTCTTTGTGTGGGAGGTGGGGAGCCCCTGGCAGGAACTGGGGTGGCCCCTCTGGCTGTGCTAGACAAGCACCAATCCACAGAGCTTTTCAATGTCCCCAAGGCACTTGGGGGGTGTCCACTGAGTGGCAGTTTCTTCTCATCTATCAATGGGCTGCACCCCCAACTGACAGTCCCATGACCTGCCCTGGCTTGGGGGAGCCTCCACCCTGCCTGGGCTTCCCAGTTCGCGCAGTGGAGAGGGCACCATTCCTCCCAGTACTGTCCAGTCCAACACCCAGGGACCTGGGCACATCCACACATGCCTCCTAACTCATTCCCCCAGGTAGCATAGGGTCACCTAGGCAAAGGAAATTCCAGGACCCACTTTACTCAAGACCCAGGGACATTCCTATTTTCCAAATGAACATCACTCACGTTGCCTAGGAAACAGCCTCACCTCAAAGAACATTGGCTCAAATAAAGGCAACACTACCAGATATGATATTCTAGTGCTGAAGCTTTGACTTATCCAAGTATCAAAAGGAGATTCAGCCAGGTGTGGTGACTCACACCTGTAATCCAAGCACTTTGGGAGGCCGAGGCGGGAGGATTGCTTGAGCCCAGGAGTTCAAGACCAGCATGAGCATGGACAATGTGGCAAAGCCCCATCTCTTAAAAAAAAAAAAAAAAAAAAAAAAATTAGAGGCCAGGCATGGTGGCTCACACCTGTAATCCCAGCACTTTGGGAGGCCGAGGCAGGCAGATCACCTGAGGTTGGGAGTTCAAGAGCAGCCTGACCAACATGAAGAAACCCTGTCTCTACTAAAAACACAAAATTAGCCAGGGATGATGGTGCATGCCTGCAATCCAAGCTACTTAGGAGGCTGAGGCAGGAGAATTGCTTGAACCAGGGGACGGAGGTTGCCATGAGTTGAGATCGTTCCATTGTACCCCAACCTGGGCAACAAGAGTGAAACTCCATCTCAAAAAAAAAAAAAAACTTAGCCGGGCTTGGTGGTGTGCACCTGTACTCCCAGCTACTTGGGAGGCTGAGGCAGGAGAATCACCCAAGGCCAGGATTTCGAGGCAGAAGTGAGCCATGATTACATCACTACATTCCAGTCTGGGTGATAGAGTGACACCCTTCCCACCCCTCCACCAAAAGAAAAAAAAAAAGAGAGAGACAAACTCATTTACTTTTTTATTCCTCAACAAATATTTATTAAGCACTCCTTAGATGCCAGGCATTGTTCTAGACACTTGAGATACATCAGTGACCAAAGCATTGTCGCTAAACTTCAACTTCAGCCTACTGTGGGACTTTTTTTCCTTTATTCCGTTCTTTCTTTCTTTTTAAAATTAAAACAAGAGTCTTGCTTTGTTGCCCAAGCTGGCCTCAAACTCCTGTGCTCAAGCAATCCTCCCACCTTAGCCTCCCTGGTAGCTAGAACTACAGATGCGAGCAGCCCAGTCTGGCTTTCAAGAATTTGGTAATTATCTACAAGTAAGATGTGTTGCATAAATAGGAAGCCAGGTGGATCACTGGGCAGATTTGATTACTGAAAACAGGATGCACTTCCTGACCCAGATAAGTTTTTTCATCTGCCTAAAGGGTGGGTCTTTTACCAAGTAGCTGGGAACTGCCGTGTGTTTCTTCACAACACTCGGAAACAAGAACCATCATATCACTTTTGCTGTCTCAGTCAAATTAAATCAGGCTCCATGCCCAACTTTCCCGGATTCTAGGGTTGCACAAAGCCCAGGAAAGGTGTGGAGGGGTGGCTGGGCTGGCCTTGAATCTGCTGTCAGGCCTCTGAGCCCAAGCCTGCACATATACATCCAGATGGCCTGAAGTAACTGAAGAATCACGGAATAAGTGAAAATGGCCGGTTCCTGCCTTAACCGATGACATTACCTTGTGAAATTCCTTCTCCTGGCTCAGAAGCTCCCCCACTGAGCACCTTGTACCCCCGCCCCTGCCTGCCAGAGAACAACCCCTTTGACTGTAATTTTTCACTGCCTACCCAAGTCCTATAAAAAGGCCCCACCCCTATTTCCCTTCGCTGACTCATTTTTTGGATTCGGCCTGCCTGCACCCAGGTGAAATAAACAGACTTGTGGCTCACACAAAACCTGTTTGGTGGTCTCTTTACACGGACGCGCGTGATGTCTGCTATG